TATGATGCTGCTTGGCCTGCTGTGTTCATCCAGCTCTACACCTTGTTATCTTAAAGGAAGAGATGGAAGTTGGTACAATTACAACTATTAAAAGGCATCTGGATGAGTATGTGAATATGAAGGGATATGGGGCAAATGGCACTAGGTTAGATTGGGATGTCTGGTCGGCGCGCATGAGTTGGACCAAAGGGTCTGTTTCCATGCTCTATGACTCTATAACTCCCCCTGTCCTAGCCATGCACTTTGTACCTTTCTCAAATATCACTCTTCTGTCCAAACATGCCCTCCCCAAGCTCATCTTATCCATCAAATGGAACTCCCAGATTCAGGAACGTGGCAGGTCACTTAGCCCCTCGAGTACTTTATGCCATTCGGTGAGCCTGTGACTGATCAGAGACCCTATCTCCGCGCACCCATCTTTGCTTAACAAAAATCCAGCAATCTCAGACAAAATAGTTTGTTTTAAATCTAACATCATTTGCTATTTGTGGAAAACTCCAACAACTTCTACTATTTCCATAAGAAGAGTTTCCTGATTTTATGCCTGAAAATTCTGGCTCTAATTTTCAGTCTAAAAATTTAATCCAAAACCCTAGAATTAGTGATTAGCCATAATAGTTTCTCCTATTCTTTTCCCTTAATGTCTTGAAACTTCAATAAAAAAAATCCTTTAAACTGTTAAGTTCCAGGGAATACAACCCGTAGTTTGTTTAATCTTTCCTCATAGCTTCACATTGAAATGCAGGTATCATTAAAATAAATCATTCCAAGGCCATCATATCTGAAGGTGTGGAACCCAGAACTACTGTCTGTTCCAGCTGTGGTCCGCAATGGTCCAATATTGTTTTTGTCTTTGTTTTGCTGAAGCTTAACTTCTACCCTCTTAAGTGTGAAGACAAGCATGCAGTTAGCTTATTGATTACTTAGTGTATTTGTTCATGACATTTTGATAATCTGAGTACCAAGAGTCTCTTTGGCTCTCTGCTATTTCTACATTTTCACCGTATAGGAAGTGTTTTTTAAGTCAAAATGAAATAATTCACATTATAATGATCTATCAATATTGCTTCATAATGTTACAATTCTATCAACCCCAAACCAACCACCTAACAGCCAGCCTCTCTGCCTGACTCCCATGCTAGTTGATATTAACATTTCTTTCCTCCCTCCACTCTCCCACCCTCTCCTCCTCCTGCTCCCTCCCTAACACCACTGCCAACTAACTGTGATTGAATAATCCACCACTGCTACATGACCTTATTCCATCCCTGCCTCAGCTGATCTGTTGAAACACCCCTCCACACCTTTGTTACATCTAGGCCTGACTAGTGTACTGCATTCTTGGCCAGCCTCCCACCATCTAATGCCTGTAAGCTTGAGGTCTACCAAAATTCTGCCTCTGTGTCCTAACTCAGACCTAATTTCATTCATCAATCATTGACTTCGACTAGTTCCCGATGAAACAATGCATCTTTTTTAAAATGCATGTTGTTTGTATACCTCGCTACCTCACACTCTCCTTATCAGTATAATCACGTGCAGTTCTAGAATCCTCTTTAAGGTATCTATACTCCTAATTCTGGCCCTTTGAGCACCTCCAAATTTCATCACACTGCCAATAGCAGCTCTACCTCCAGCTACCTGGGCTCTAAGCACTGGAATTATTTTGCCCAATCTCACCACCTCCATCTTTAAGACTCTTCTTAAAACCTATCAAACCTTGGTCATTTGCCTTCTATTTCCTTATGTGGCTCTATGTCATCTTTTGTTTTGTAATGCCTGTGTGAAGTGCCTCAGAGCATTGTCTTACATTAAAGATGTTAGAAAAATACAAATAATTGTTCATGGATGGGTAAATTTTAATTCAAATAACTATTTGAAAAGCTGAGAGATTGATACCCCTGATGTTACTTCTGATCTAGTGCGTCGAAAGATTCTCAGTATTCTAGATTCAGTTGACTTCGGCCAGAAGTCTCCAGAAGAGCTTCATCTGGATTTTTTTGATCGTGCCCAGATTGAACAAGTCATCTCTAAATGTGAACATAGCAACCAACAAGGCCAGACCGTCTGCAATGTGAAGGTAACTAGTGTATTGAGTACAACCTTGCATCAGCATTTTTGGCTTCCTTGGTCTTTCCTTCCATTATCCACATTCAATGTATTTCCTGTCTGTAACACCTTGCTTTTAAATTGAAAAATGCAATGGCATTCTTGTATTCCCTGCCTTTGCATTTCCACTGTCTGCCCTGTTGTAATCTCTGCATCTTATGGTCCCTGCCATTGCATTGTCCGTATCCTATGTGTTTATTCTGTATTTATTCTACCTTGTGTCCATTCTTTCTGTTCTGTTTCTGTAGCATTTTCTGTCTTAGGATACATTGCTCCTCTCTCTCTCTCTCTCTCTCTCTCTCTCTCTCTCTCTCTCTCTCCCCCTGTACCCTGAAGCCCCCCAAGCATTCCCTGTATGTTTGGAGTTCCCTCCCCTTGCCAACAGTTGAAGATCAAGTGCCTTTCTTTGGTGGCATTTTCCTGTTTGATTAATCGAACAGCAGACACACCAAACAGCGCAATGACCTGTCAGGATGATAATCCAATGGAAGTCATGGAAAGTTGACTTCTACATTTTTATGCAATCACCAAATATTTTCTGCAAAATAATAGTCAATTAAAGTGGCTAGCCAGGTGACTTTTCCATGAAAGTGTCAATTGCTTTTGTTGGACAGTTCTGTATATTGGTCTTCTGATTGAGGTTTCCACTTCATTCCCCATGATCATGACAGCCTTGGTCTGCTGATTTGTTTCCTCAGCCCTTGCCCGTGTAGGCTTAGCTTACCTATCTTTGGCCTTGCACCTTATCTGATACACAGTCATACTTTGTCTTAGCTTACCTCTTGCATTTCGATTTTCTCCTTCCTTCATGGGCAGTGGCCTTGACAGACTAGCAGGATACACTTGGAATGAGGAATTGGATTTTGTTATGGGATAAATAGTTATTCCACACGCCTGACTAATATTGAGTAATAAGATAGAAACTGTGTATTCTCTGTTAAGTCCGAGGGGAATCATAGCTGAATTTAATTCATCCTTCATCACTGTGTTATGTAATAAAGCATAGCCATGCATTTGAAGAAAATTGTTGGTCATCAGCAGTGGTCTGTCTAAAGCAGAATCGGGCTTAGTTGTCCTCACCAGTTCAAGGAGCATTTGTTCATGAACCATATGACATCTGTCCAGGTCTCAGCTTGATGCAGCTGGGCTCTTCTTGGGGTTTTAGCTGCTGTCCATGCCAGGTAGACAGGATACTTGAGCCTTGGCTACAGCATACCCGGGAGAAGGCACTACACCATTAAACTGCAAAGAACTAGCAGCCATCTCATTTAGCCTCCCTCATGTTGGAGCAAGAGCTCTCAGAATATAACTTATCTGCTTAGTTCAGATCAGGTGGCAAGATACCATCTTCAGATGTATTGTTATTCGGTGTAACCTAGTGTTGTTACTATTTTCACTGTGAATTGTTTTACCTTCCCAGCTCCTTCACAGAGTGCTTGTTGCTGAAGTGAATGCCCTCCAAGGAATAGCAGCCATTGGACAAAGACCTTTACTAATGGAGGTGAGACTTTATGTACAATGGATTACTTGTTCTGCTGTACTTGATTTTCCAATTATTGCTAAAGTGGGAGTCATTAATATATATATATAGTCCCAACCCCAACACATATATGTTATATTTATTAAACAGCTGAGTCGTGTCACAAAACTGCCAAGGTCGATTAACAGAAGTAGGAACTGGAGCAGGCCATTTGATCCTCAAGTCTGTTCAGCCATTCAGTGGGATCATAGCTGATCTGACATTCCTCAAGTCCACTTTTTCCTGGCCTTTTCCCTGTAACCCTTAATGCCCGTACTAATGGAGAATCTATTTCCACCTTAAATGTATACAAAGACTCTGCCCCACTGTCTGTAGCAAGGAGTTCCAAAGACTCTCAATCCTCAGAAGAAATTCCCATTCATCTTAGTCTTAAATTGGTGCCCCTTTATTCTGGGACTGTGCCCTCTGGTCGTAGACTCTCCCATGAGGGAAAAATTTACTCGGCATTTACCCTGTCAAGCCCCTTAAGAATTCTACGTGTTTCAATGAAATCACCTCTTATTCTTCTGAACTCCAGTGAGCCGAGTCCGAACCTGTTTAATCTTTGGCTATGAGATAATCCCTCCATCACAGGGATCATCCGAGTGAACCTTCTCTAAACTGTCTTCGATTAAACAATAACTTTCCTCAAATAAGGGAACCACAACTGTTCACTTTGTACAGTTGCAGTAAGGCTTCCCTTCGCTTATACTCCAACTCCCTTGAAATAAGGGCTAACATTCCATTAGCCTTCTGGTTACTTCCTGCACTCGTGCTAGCTTTCTGTGTTTCACATACAAGTTCCTTCAGGTCCCTTTGTTTTGCAACTTTCTGCCCTTTTTCTCCATTTAAATAATATTCTGTTCTTTTGTTTTTCCTTCCAAATGAACAACTTCACGTTTTCCCACATTATACTTGATTTGCCAACTTTTTGCCCACTTGCTTACCCTATCAATATCTCTGTAAACTATATTCCTCTCACAACCTATCTTTCTGTCTATTTTTGTGTTGTCTGCTAATTTGTTTACAGTACATTCACTTTCTTCTTCCAAGTCATTAATATATATTGTAAGCGGTTGTGGTCCCAGCACTGATCCCTGTGGAACCCCACTGGGTACAGGTTGTTAATCTGAGGAGCACCCCCCCCCCCCCCCCCCCCCCCCCAGTCACACCCTGTCACCCACCACCTTCCCCCCACGCACACGTGTACACACACACAACAAACTTTGTTTCCTGTTCATTAGTTAGTTGTTTATCCATGCCAGTATACTACCTCCAAAGCTGTGGGCTCTTATCTCATGATTTAGCCTTTTGTGAGGTACCGTGTCTTCTGGAAGTCCAAATACAACACGTCTGCTGGTTCCCCTCAATCCACTCTGGTTGAGGCTTCCTCGAAAATCTCTAATAAATTAGTCAGGCACAATTTCCCTTTCGTGAAGCCATGTTGGCTCTGCTTGGTAGATTATGAATTTTCACATGTTGTGCTGTACTTCCTTGATAACTGATTCCAATACTTTTCCAACAATAGATGTTAGGATAATCAGTCTATTGTTCACCATTTTTTCTTTTAAACTCCCTTTTTGAATAGGGGTGTCACATTAGAAGTCTTCCGATCCTTTGGTACTTTTCCAGAATCCAAGGTTTTACTTTTGGAAAATTACTGCAAATACATCCACTATCTCTTTACGTACTATTTTTCAGATCATAGAATGCAAGGCATCAGAGCTAGGGGACTTATTTGCCTTTAGCTCCATTAGTTTGTCTAATACTACTACTTTAGTGACAGTGATGGTACTTAATTCCTCCCCCATTTTATTTAGTATTAATGAGATGTTTGAAGTATCTTGCATCATAAAGACTGATGCAAAATATCTGTTTAACTCTTCTGCCATTTCCTTGCTCTCTGTAATGATCTTCCCAGATTCATTTTCTAAGGGGCATATGTTCACTTTTGACCTCCCTTTTCCTTTTTTTGTATTTAAAGAAGCTCTTAATATCAAGTTTCTGTATTCCTTGTTAGTTTGCTGTCTTGGTTTTTGACAAGATAGCGAGGGAGGTAGAAGAGGTAGAGGAGTTGCATTACTCACTAGGAAGAATGTCACAGCTGCACTCCGAGAGGACATACTGGAGGGCTCATCTACAGAGGCGTGATGGGTAGAGGTCAAAAATAAAATGGGTGCAATCATTTTGATGGGATTAAACATTCAGGCTCCCAAGAGTCACTGAATCATTAAGGACCAAATATGTGGGCAGATTATGGAAAAATGCAAAAACAAACAATGTTGTTATAGTGGGTGACTTTAACTTCCCCAGTATTGACTGGCGCTTCCTTAGAGTAAGAGGCATAGATGGGACAGAATTTGTTAGGTGCATCCAAGAGGGTTGCTTGAAACAGTATGAAGAAGGGTCTAGGCCCGAAACATCAGCCTTCCTGCTCCTCTGATGCTGCTTGGCCTGCTGTGTTCATCCAGCTCTGCACCTTGTTATCTCAGGAAATTAGGAGAGCAAGGAGGGGCCATGAAATGACTTTGGCAAGTAGGGTTAAAGAGATTCCGAAGGCATTCGACACATACATGAAAAGCAAGAGGATAACTAGGGAGAAGGTAGGACCACTCAGGGATAAAGGAGAGAACTTGTGCTTGGAGGCAGAGGATGTGGGCGAGATCCAAAATGAATACTTTGTATCGGTATTCACCCAGGGGAAGTATATAAAGGATAGTGAAATATGTGTGGAGAATGCTGGTTTGCTAGGGCATTTTGAAATCAAGAAAGAGGTGGTGTTGGGTCTCTTGCAGAGCAATAAGGTGGATAAATCACCGGGGCCTGATGGTATCTACCCCAGGTTATTGAGAGGGACAAAAGAAGAGATAGCTGGGGCCTTGACCAAGATCTTTGTGTCCTCACTAGCCACTGGAGAGGTTCTGGAGGACTGGCGAGTAGCTAATGTTGTTCCTCTTTTCAAGAAGGGAAATAAGGATAATCCAGGAAACTATAGACCAGTGAGTGTTTGGGAAGTTCTTGGAGAGAATTCTTAGGAATAGGATTTACGTGCATTTGGGAAAGCATGGCCTAATTATGGACCGCCAGCATAGCTTTGTGCAGGCAGATCATATTTTACTAACTTGATTGAATTTTTCAAGGAGGTGACAAAGATGATCGATGAGGGTAGAGTAGAGGATGTTGTCTTCGTGGATTTTAATAAGGCTTTCAACAAGGTCCATCGTTCAGAAGATTAAGATGCATGGGATCCACAGCGACTTGGCTGTTTGGATTCAGAATTGGCTTGCCCATTCAAGGTAGAGGATGGTGGTGGACGGGTTTCATGCTGGAGGCCTGAGACTAATGGTGTTCCATAGCAATCCATACTGGGACCTCTGCTGTTTGTGATGTATATAAATGACTTGGATGAAAATGGGTGAGTTAGTAAGTTTGCAGATGATACAAAGATCAGTGGAGTTGTGGATAGTGTAGTAGTTGTCAAAGGATACAACAAGATATAGATCAGTTGCAGACATGGGCAGAGAAGTGGCAGATGGGGTTTAATCTGGGCAAGTGTGAGGTGTTGCATATTGGGAGACCAAATGTTAAGGGAAAGTGATGTCAATGGACAGTTTGTGGCAGAATCCTTGACTGCATTGATGTACAGAGGGATCTTGGGGTCCTAGTCCATAACTCAATGAAAGTGACCACACAAGTAGATAGGGTGGTAAAGAAGGGATATGGCATGCTTGTCTTTATTAGTTGGGGCATTGAGTACAAGAGTCAGGAAGTGATGTTGCAGCTCTATTAAAGTTTGGTTAGGCCGCACTTAGAGTATTGCATTCAGTTCTGGTCGCCACACTACAAGAAAGGATGTGGAGGCTTTGGAGAAGATGCAGGAGAAGTTTACCAGGAATCCTGTCTGGATTAGAGGGTATGAGCTATAAGGACAGGCTGGTCAAACTATGGTTGTTTTTCTCTGAAGTGGCAGAGGGTGAGGGGACACCTGATAGAGGTCTATAAAGTATGAGAGTCATTATGAGAGTTGACAGTCAGAATCTTTTTCCCAGATTTGAAATGTCTAATACTAGAGGGCATGCATTTAAAGTAAGAGGGAAAGTTCAAAGGAGATGTGAGGAGCAGGTTCTTTTACACAATGGGTGGTAGGTGTCTGGAACTCTTTGCCGGGGTAGTGGTGGAGGCAGATACGATAGGGCTGTTTAAGGGGCTTTTAGATAATCACGTGAATATGTAGCAATGGGGCGATATGGACCCTGGGTGGGCAGAAGTAATTTGTTCAACTTGGTGTCAAGTTTGGCACAACATCGTGGGCTGAAGGGCCCATTTTTGTGCTGTGCTGCTTTGTTCTGTGGTTTACTTTCTCTGTCTTCATTACCCTTTTTTGTCCTCCTTTGCTCGATTCTGAATTTATCCCTGTCTTTGGGGCTATGAATGACTTTGGCCTCCTTATTTTTTTTTTCTTTCAATGTAATACTCTCCTACAACTTCTATGGTTGATTTATTGAGTTAGCTGATCCTCTGTTGCGATATAGTGTGGGATCGAGGACCTTACTCATATGCTGAGTAGATCAGTTGGGAAAGGGTACAGGGTATTCAGTGCTGACCACGTGTGAGAACATCCATTTTGGTTCAGTAAAGACACATCTTTGATACAAGACTTAGTCTAGGGACTGGAGCACAAAATCTATGTCGAGACTGGAGTCCAGTGCTGAAGGAATATTATACTGATGGGGTCTATCGATGAGAATTTAAACAGAGGAGCCCAGCTGCACTCGGGTGGATCTAAAAGATTGCACACGACTACACCGGGAAGTAATCCCTAAGGGTTTTGGCCAATTCCTTTTGAGCAACCAACATCCTTAAAATAGATAATGTAGTTATTTTCTGCATTGATGATGGGAGCTTGATGCACTCATGTTTGCTTTTTTTAAAATAGGATAACAGTTTTAAAGGTACTTTGTTAAATGTGAAGAGCTTTGGGACCTACAAAAGACACGACAAAAATATAATCTCTTTGTGCGCTCCTGTGAAGTCTTAATGTTATAAGGAATGTTAGAGGGATGATTGAAACAAAATAATTAAGTCTCCCTTCTATCTCAGAATTGAGACCAGAGATCAATGATTCCTTCTATTACACATTAGTTATTGGAACAAGTGAGAGAGAATTTGTTTGGAGAACAGCATGAAAGGGCATCTTAGTCTGCTCCAAAAGTGTTTTTTACTTAAGAGAATGAACTTTCAATTTGCAAGAATTGTGAGAGGCAAGACAGGTGGATATCATGGCAGAGAATTTCTACTACCTAAACCTCACCTATCTTGTCACTTTACACATTGACATGCCTGCTGTGAATTTCCTGCTTCCAGCTTGTTCCAGCATTCCCAGTCTTTCTTTTCACTGCAGCTCATTTATATTTTGAGGAGAGAAGCTGTTTATCATGTTTGCAGCTGATTATGTAGCGTGTCTTTTTCTAACATTGTCACCATGTTATTCAGGAGATAAACACGATCTTGCAGCATGTGGTGGAGAGAAACAAGCTGCGGGAGTGTCTCAATGCCAAGCGGCACATGTTGGAGTCCTGGCGCCACCTGGTTGAGATCATTCTTGCAGCGTGTCCACTGGACTTGATTCAGGAAGAGGACAGACAGCTGGTCATTCGAGACCTTCTGCATGAGCTTCATGACAAGGTGAGGCCAAAAACCCCTGCAGCAAGTCTCCATCATTCCATAGCTTATTGATTGTAAGTGCTGGAATTGTAATAGCTAAAATGTACCAAATAATTGAAAAAATGATGTATTATGCAATCCATATATCATCAGGCAAAAATATTTGAAACAAATTTCTGATCACTGCAAGAATTATTTCACTTTTATTCTCCATCAATCTTAAAAAACATAAAGCTATCTTTAGGCCATAGCTGTGGTACTGCGTCCCATTCTGATCACCCACACTTCATAAAGGATGTGTGAGGGCCCTCGAGAGAGTACAGAGGAAATTTATCAGAATGGTTCCACAGTTAGGAGTTTTTAAGCTATAAAGTTAGGTTGTCAAGCTGGGATTTAGCTTGGAACAAAGGAGATTGAAGGGAGATTTGTTAGAGGTATAGATGTTGCAACAAGTCTGCAAAGCTAAACGTGGGAGGAGCTGGGTTCATTAGCCAATAATGTTAAGGTTAAACACATTAAGGTTTTGAGTCAGCCATTAGAAGTGATGTGAAAAAGATAAATTTTAGTGAGTTGTAATAATTGGAACTTGCTACCCAACCCATCAGTGCATTGCACCAGAGGCGATCAGTGATTTCAAAAGGTTGGGCATTTGATCTGTGGGAATAATGGGCAAGGGAATAGGACAAGCTGAATTGTTCTATGGAGAGTTGACTCTGGCTGAATGGCCTCCTTATTGTAAATGACATTCATATATTTTCAACAGGTTGTAGCCTATTGATTGTTAATCTTTTCTCCTAACAATACTTCAGTACGTTGGCCTCTTGTACAATCAGCAAAAAGACAAGAAAGTTGCTATTTGGTCTCTGTTTCATTCTGGTCATAAGCAAGTAAGGCTCAGCTCTTGAATATCAGATTTCTAGTTTGCATCAACCTAACTATGAGCTAGGGAAGATTCACACCTCAATATCAAGACTTGTACTCAGTTGTTCTAGTCTCCCAGATGATTTCAGAATGTTTCCTGCCCCACAAGCAGAATCCATTTATGGTGTATACAGCATATTGCCAGACTATTTTAGTTTATCTGTATAAAAGGTACCAAGTGATCACTGGGAATTCTTTGTGGATTAAAAATACATCGAGGAAGGAAGTCACACTTCTAACTGTTCCTTGTAACTGGAACCTGCTATAGATGAGCAGCAAATCAAAAAGAACAAGAGGAGGTGAGAGATTTTAGAAGAAAGGAGGTCACACTGATAAACGGAATGACCTATGAAGTATTTGAGTTGAAAACAGGATTGTTAAATGGCAGAAACTACACTTTTAGGCAACAAAAAGAAATTATGAGAGAAATTTTAAAAAGACATATAAATATAGTGTTGAATACCTGAAGGCAGAAAAATAGTGAAGTGGCTTGGGTGCCTGACAAACAGAATTGGAAAAACAAGGAAGAACAGGATAAGACAAATTGAGGTGTAATAAAGACTGCAGAGAGAGGCTTGGGAGCACATATTGAAGAAGTTCTAAGTATTAGTCCTGTATAGTCTGATAGCTTTGTTCAACTCTGCCTCTTTTCCCCTTAGATCCTCACAGAGGAGGCTGCCCAGGAGCTCATGCCTGTGGTGGCTGGGGCAGTATTCACTCTCACTGCACACCTCAGCCAGTCAGTCCGCAGTGAGCAGAAACAGGCGCTCAGCACCCACTCCCATCATGTCACCCTCCTCGATGGCAGCACTACATCAGTTGGGGAGGTAACGGCTGGCTTTGCCTCTATTGGAGACTCTTCTCTTCATATCATCCTCAGGAAGCTCTTGGATTTCATTCTCCGAACTGGTGGGTCCCAGTGAAAGTGCTGCTATTGCTTATTATAAACTGTAGGACATATAGCAGTAAGCTGAATCGTGTGGAATATTTTTGGTTCGTCTTTACATTTCCAGCGGTTTAACATCACCACTGGTGTGGGAGTCAACTGACTAGTTGTCGATGTGATACTGCTTTGTTTCTTATAGCAGGGGAGTCCAGAACAGAGAAGCACACCCCTTAAATTAAAGTTAGATCATTCAGAAATGATGTCAAAATGCACTTGTTAACTGAAGGGTCAGTCAATGGAAATCTAGAACTCTATCCTAAAGAAGTGATTGAGGTTGGGGTTGAGGGTTGGTCATTTGGAAGTTGCTATAAGGTAAAGAAAATGGAATCAATGGCCATGATCTAATTGATTTGTGGAACAGGCTCAAGAGACTGTAATACCTTCTTCTAGTCCTCTGTTTTTTATGAATCCTTTTACAAAGGGATATTGCAGCATTGAGATTGAGAGTCAGTGCTCTGACTTTTGTTCCTCTTGCATCTCTTTAGCACTGGAGGTTATAACATCGTTACAGTATAGAAGGAGACCACTTAGCCCACTGAGCCCATGCCATGTGTATTTTTAAACTAATTCATTTTAATATTGTGAGCTAATTTAAACTCCTAATAATTGAACACTTTCTATTAAGTTTTCAGTATGAATCCATGGCTTTACCTAATTTGGACCTAAGAGAGTTTTTAAAAATTCTTTCATGGAATGTGGGCTTTGGCAGACCATTTCAGAGACTAGTTAAGAGTCAACCATGTTGTTGTGGGGTGTGAGTCTCATGTAGGCCAGGCTGGGTAAGGACAGCATTTCCTTCTCTAAAGGGCATTAATGAACCAGATGGATTTTTACCTCAATGATGGTTGTCACTGTTGTCATCACTTAGATGAGCTTTATAATTCCGGATTTATTGAATTTATTTTTGAACTTATTTTTAAATTTGCTATGGTTAAATTTGAATTAGTGTCCCCAGAGTATTAGCCTGACCCTCCTGGATTACTAGTCCAGTGACATTATCACTATGCCAACATCTCCCAACATTGCATGGAGTTTGATGTTTTGGCAACTTGCGAAATATTGTGATGCCTTTATACTCCTGTTAGGATGCAGACCATAGGCCGTTAAGGCAGCGATATGTATTCTGTACTTTTCGCACTGCCTTAACATCCACTGTCAGGCTGTGGATACGATTGTAACATGCTATTATACATACATTCTGCATTGTTAGTGGAGATACTGAATGCCATTCTCCCGACAGTAGATTCAGTTTAAAGTGGTAGGGTTGGTTATCTCAGTTGGCTAGGTGGCTGGTTTGCGATGCAGAGGAATGCCAGCATTGTGAGTTCAATTCCTGCACTGGCTGAGGTTTCCACAAAGGACTCACCGTCTCAATCTGTCCCCCACCTGAAATGTGGTGACCTTGGGTTAAATTAGCACCAGTCATCCCTTTCTCGTTCTGTCTCTTGCACTTACCGCACCACCACCCCTCCCCCACACCTCGTGCATCACCCCTCGCGCTCGGCCCATTTCTGTAATGAAAGAGCAGCACGCTGGTCCAGGAAGGCGACTTGGTGTTTGAATGCATACACAAATTATGTTGTTAACAATCTAGACCACTAGAGGGACTTCTAGAATTCCCTCATGTCACTGCCCCCATAGTGGCAAAGTAGCCGTATACTTTGTTATGCTTAGTGAAATTTGGAGCAATGCTTCAACATTTGACTTTGTCCTAAGCATGCCCTAAATTGTTTGAATATAATTTCTCTTGTGTGAGAATATCTTGCAAAAGTATTAGATATTGCATGGAAGCAGCTGGTCCTTCCAGGTTTCTACTTCACATGAACCTTGACGTGCTAATTACTTACTCCTAGCCTGCTCTTGAGTGTCTTCAATTCTCTCTGCCTCATGAATGCATCAAGCCTTGCTTAAATGCATTAACGACATCGGCAATTAGTCTATGTGCAAAGAGTTTTACATTTGCAGCACTCTCAAGAAATTCCCACCAGGTTCCTTTTTTGGTTTGTTATTGACTATTTTATATTAATGCCCAGTTACCTTAGAGTAACATTAAGTATGTTGATGACTGAGTTAGAGGGATTTTTGATTGAAGAGGGTTATTGGAGGCAGGCAGGAAGCAGGCATTGAGGCCACAAACAGATCAGACATAATAAAAAGAAAGTGACGGAGCACCTCCGAGAAAGAGTTAACGTGTAACCATGTCAACTGTCATAAAACCCATCTGGCTCACTAATGCCCTGTAGAGGAGGGATTCTGTTGTGCTCACCTAGTCTGACTTGGCTTGCATGTGATTCCAGACTCCAGCAATGTGTCTGACTCCTAACTGCCTTCTGGACTATTAGCGATGGCCATGTCCAAAGAATAAATAAAAATAATGTCAAATTGGAATATTAACTCTGTTTCTCCAGCATCTGCTGTATTTTGCTTTTATATCAAGTGTGAAATTATTGAATGGTAAAGTGGTCACAACAGGCTGCGTAGCCTATTCCTGTTCCTGTGTCTTATGATAATGTGACTGATGGAGAGAAGAACTAACACTTGCATTATTGCTAGGTGGGGGTTTCCAGCGTGTAAGAGCACACCTCTATGGAGCACTTCTGTATTATCTGCAGATGAGTCAGAAACCGGATGAACCGGACACATTAGAAACAGGTATGTAGTTCTGTAATGATTTGAATATTGTAGGTGAAGGTGATAGCACTTCCCTCATTCTAGGAAAATGATCAGAGTTAAAGCCAAAGAATGGGGCCGATTCTGTTTCACCCATTGTTCCATCAGTCACTTTCAGATCATTTACAGTATAAGCTTTGTAGAATAAAGCAATCTGTCTAGTCTCAGGATTAGCTATAAATATTCTGCCAGTCCTGGCTGGGTATAATCTTGTATCTCAAAAGTAAAAAGACAGTGTATCATCAACTTGGCATACTCTGATTCTTCTGAAAACTTGAGTATTTCTTATTTTCTTTCAATTGCTTGAGTTCAGATGACAAACCATATCCAAATGACTACTTTCTTGACAAAATCACCACTGGTTGGTGAACTTGGTCTGCTTGACTAGGGAGGGGTGTTGTCGGCAAGCTCCAGTCTTGCTTTTCCATGAAACGTGCGAGCAGATTTTCCAGCAAGGCTCAAGGAATACTTTCCAAGAATAGGAGCTCTGGTTGACATTTCTCTCCTACCCCAGTCACAGAATGTCAGTTAAATAGTTTCCATGTTTCTCTGATTGAGATCACAAAACTCAATACAGATCCAGGGTGGAATCTGGGTATTAATATACAGGCATAGTTATTTCCCTATAGCATGAGGTCACGCTTAATGCTACTATCGCGTTATATGAGAACTACCTGTTTTTTACACAAAATATAACCTTTGTGCTTTAGTCTTGTGTCCTCTAACATTCCACTTCAAATTTAATTGTTTTTTCTGGGGCCTGTACAAATGTTTCCTATATCTTTTCTTTGGCCTGTCAGCTCCACAATGCTCCAAGGCCTGTATTTTAACAGCTTTCTAATGGCCAGCTTGAAGGTCATGGAGCCTGTGAAATGTGCAGGTTTGTTGATAGATATCTTTAGTCTTCCCTTCACCATGACACTTTACCAAGCAGTGAGGAAGGTGATGGATGGCCCTCATCGAAAAGCCAATTAAAGGTCCCTTTCTGCCACAGCTGCCACTTTACCAGTGAAACGTGGGCACTCCGCTGTATTGCAGAAGCCACCTAATGAACCTGGGTGGCCTCCCTATTAACTTATAGTTGGCTGTGAGGGAGAGAGACAGACACTTTTGTATGGACACTCTCGCCTGTGCAGGGACCCCTAGTGGGCCCTCTCTATGTATGCACTCTGCCAGGTTCTGATCACCTTGGCACCCTGAAACCCCATGTATTTGATTCAGAGAGCTGTCTGCTCCAATGGCTTTGCATTCAAGGGTGTCGTCCCAACAGTGACCACAACTCCCAGTGACTCTGCTTAGTTGTCAGGAGCTCCAGTGGCAACCGATTACTTATCGGACAGTCAGAAAATATGGTCTGGTGTTCCACGACTGGCCACGATTGTTCCTGGTGCTCAGGATCGTCATGGTGGTCCCTGCCATACCAAGATAATTCCAGGCTAAGTTGTGTTGGCACTACTTTGAGGAAATATTGCCGTCTACTATGAGGAGGCAACAATGATCCAGATTTCGTTCGAGGTCAGATTCCAGGATGGATCATCATGAGTTGTCAAATTTCAAAGCAGACAGTCAGATTTTGGGAGTACATATCAGGTAACTATGGAGAAAGTAAATGGAGAACTTTCAAATGCTGCATTGTTGCAGTAGCTCATTCTGCTCAAGCGCACAGGCCTTTTTAACAGCACTATCTTGTTGATAAATCTGAAATTTTCTGTCATGTCCCAGAGTTGATTGGTCTAGAAACTGCTCCTAGTTAGGTTAGATTGTTAATTAGACTGATTTGTCAAGAGTTTGTCCATTTACTATGTGGTTTTCTGTTTTAATTGGGATGGTACAGGTCAGAAAACCATGTGGGAGAGGCTAACGGCTCCAGAGGATGAGTACACTAAACTTCAAGAAGACAACATGAACATCATAGAGGGTTATGGGGCATCGCTGATGGAGGTTGTTTGTCGAGATGCTTGTGACGGCCATGAAATTGGGCGAGTAAGTATGAACACCTGCACGCATACAATACCCAGAGTTTCGGTATAACTATTCCAGTGTTAGATTCTTCCATATTACATTGACATTTCATCCAGTTACAGTAAGCACATGAGTTAGGTTGTTCTACGTTTTATTAAAAAGCAAATGCTTTGGAATTGAAAACAATTTCATTTTCAACATTCCTTTATGACTTCCAGCTCAAAAAATGTATTGACCCTCTGAAAGCTGGAATAAAAGCTTCCAATAAGATTAGTGGTTCTTGTCACCTTGTAGCCTAGTAGGAGAGGAGGTAACATGCTGGTACTGTCATGGGACAAGTAATTCAGAACTTCAGGCTAATGTTGTGGGGGTATGGGTCCAATTCCCACAGTAGTATATGGCAAAATTTGAATTCAATAAAATCATATAACTCCAGACCCACAGCAATGCGGTTAGCTCTTAGGTTCACTCACTCAGTTAAATCTTACTACTTCAAAGCCGAAATGAAAGGAATAAACCACAAGGACTGCCTGGCATCAGCCGAGGCATAGGAAACAATGATCGCAAATCCAGCACTTTCAACCCTGCAAAGTCCTCCTTACTAACTGCTGCAGGGCTTGTGCCAAAATTGGGAGAGCTGACTCATAGACTGTACATGCAACACCCTGACATAATCATACTCCCAAAATCATACCTTACACGCCACCTAATAGGTAACAATGAAAACAACAAACGCTGAAGGTTACAGTGGGTCTGACAGCATCCATGCAGAGAAAGCAAGCTGATGTTTAGAGTCCAGGTGACTCCTCATCAGAGCTAAAGTGAAATGTCGACAGGACAGCATTTATGCTATAGTTTGGGGTAAGAGGGTGAGAGGATAGTGGACGTAGAGTGTTGGTGGAGAAAAGATGTTGATAGTTCGGATTCTGAATAGGAGAATGGAGGAACAACAGTGTGTCTCCTGCTAGATTGGAAAGGACAGTAACTGGGATGGGGGGAGGGGAGGACAGGATAACAAGCTAAAAGAAAAGGAAGAAATGGTTCACAATTTAGAGGTGTTGAACACCGTATTAATTCCTGAAGGCTGTAAAGTGCCCAGTCTGAAAATGAGATGTTGTTCCTACAGTTTGCTCTGTGATTCACTGGAACACTGTAGCATGCCGAGGACAGACATGCGAGCAGGGTACTGTCAAAATGACTGGCTACAGGAAGGTCGGGATCCCGCTTGCGCACAGACCGGAGGTTTTCCGCAAAGTGGTCTCCTAACTTTGTTAACCCTAACTTTGTTATCAAACCGGCAAAGGTGGTGCTGTTGTAGTCTGGCACACTGATCTTCAGCTTGTGGAGGCTCCATGCCAGGTCTTGGACACTTTTTCCTACCACCCCCTGGACCATGACCCCACATCCAAGCATTAAGCCATTAACTCCAGAGATTATTCTCCCACAGCCTCCAACCTCATAGCCTCCCAAACCCGGACAACCCACTTCTACCTCCTTCCCAAAATCTACAAACCAGACTGCCACAGCAAACCTATCATATCAGCCTGTTCCTGCCCCACTGAGCTCATTTCCTCCTACCTTGACTCCATCCTCTCACCATTTGTCCAGACCCTGCCGACCTATATCCATAATTCCTCTGATGCCCTCCAATATGTTGACAATTTCCAGTTCCGTGGCCCTAACTGCCTCCTGTTCACCATGGATGTCCAATCCCTCTATACTTCCATTCCCCACCAGGATGGTCTGAGAGCTCTCTGCTTCTTCCTTGACCAGAGGCCTGCACAATCACCATTCACCACCACTCTCCTCTGCCTCGCTGAATTTGTTCTCTCACTGAACAATTTCTCCTTTAATACATCTCACTTCTGTCAAGTAAAAGGAGTGGCTGTGGGCACCCACACGAGTCACACTTATGCTTGCCTCTTTTTGGGGTATGTGGAACGATCCTTGTTCCCGTCTTACACTGATCCCCTCTCACAATTCTTTTCTCAGTACATCGACAACTACTTCGGTGCCGCTTCATGCTCCTGCCAGGACCTTGAAAACTTCATTCATTTTGCCTCTAATTTCCACCCCGTTATAACTTCCATATTGTCCATTTCCGACACTTCCCTTCCTTTCCTTTCCTTGACCCCTCTGTCTCCATTCTGGGGACTAAACTGTCCACTACCATCCACTACAAAGCCACGGACTCCCATAGCTACCTTCACTACAGCTCGTCACATCCTACATCCTGCACTCCATCCATTCTCCCAGTTCCTTCGCCTAGGTCGCATCTGTTCGGATGATGCCACCTTCCAAAACAACATGGCTGACATGGCTTGCTTCTTCCGTGACTGTAGTTTTCCACCCACTGTGGTCTCCAATATACTCTGGGTGAGGGACTTGAATGTCCGTCACCAAGAGATTTTCGGTAGCACTACTAGAGACCAAGCTGGTCAAATTCTAAAGAGCATAGCTGCTAGACTGAGTCTGCAGAAGGTGGCGAAGGAACAAACAACAAGAGTCGGAAATCTACTTAACCTTATCCTCGCTAGTTTATCTGTCAGATGCATCTGTCAATGATAGTATCAGTAGGAGTGACCACAGCACAGTCCTTGTAGAGATGAAGTTCAGTCTTCACATTCAGGATGCCCTACATCGTGCTGTGCAGCACTATTATTGCAGTCCAGGACAGACTTCGGACAGATTAGCAACTCAAAAGTGTGCATGCACAAGGTGCTGTAGCTCATTACCAGCTGCAGAATTATTTTCAACCATAATTTGTCACCTCATGGCCTGGCATATTCCCCACTCTGCCATTATCATTAAGACAGGGGATCAACCCTCATTGAATGAAAGTGAAGAAGGACATGCCAGGAGCTGCACAAAGCGTTCCTAAAAATGAGTGTCAACCTGATGAAGTGACAACACAAGATGACTTGTGTGAAAACAGTGGAAGCAACATTCAATAATGGTAACCAATGAATAACCAAACTATCTGATCTAAGCTCTGCCACATCCAGTTGTGAATGGTGGTGCACAGTTAAACAACTAACAGTAGGAGGAGGCTCCCCAGTATGGCCACCCTCAATGATGGGGGACCCCGACACATCAGTGCAAAAGATAAGGCTGCAGTATTTGCATCTGTCTTCATCGAGAAGTATTGAGTTTGATGATCAATTCTTTCCTTCTGGAGTCCCAGCATCACAGATGCCAGTCTTAAACTAATATCACCCCCCCATGTCATATCAAGAAACAGTGGAAGGCACTGGATATTGCAAAGGTCTTGATAATATTCCAGCAATAGTACTAATGACATGTGCTTTAGAAGTAGTTGCACCCTGTGCCATGCACTAGCGACTACCTAACTCTGGAAAGTTGTTCAGGTCTGTCCTGTTCCAAGAAAGCAGGACAATCCACCCTGACCAATAATGTCCTATCAATCTACCTTTGATCATCAGCAAAGTGATAGAGCTTTACATTGCCTGCTATGCAACAGCGCTTGCAAAAAAAACCTACTACTCATTGGTAAAGAGTAAGGAATAACGTCTACTTATTAGTGCTCAGTTTGAGTTCTGCACGGATCTGATCTTACTACAGCTTTACTCCAACTGATGGAATGAAGAGCTCAATTCCAGAGGTGGAGTGAAAGTAGTACAAACAAAGGTTGTTGTTGTTGGAGGTGAATCACTTCAGTCTGAGGACATCACTACAGGAGTTCCTCAGGGTAGTATTCTTGGCCAGTAGTCTTCAGTTTCTTCATTAATGATCTTCCCTCCACATAAGGTCAGAAGTGGGGATACTCACTTATGTTTGCACAATGTTTAGTCCTGATTGCAACTCTTCATACTCTGAAACAAGACTTAGACAACATCCAGGCCTAGACTGAAGTGTGGCTACAATGTTATTGGCTACTTGAGTACCAGACAATGAGCATTTCCAACAAGAAAGAATCAAACCATCGTCCCCTGATGTTCCGTGAACTGGACCAGCCATATAAATACCTTTAAATACAAGAATAGGTCATAGATTAGGAATCCTGCAGGGAGTAAGTCACCTCTGGTCTCTCAGCCACCTACAGGGCACAAGATAGCCTTGTCATGGATACTCTGGATGAGTGCAGCTTCCGTAACACCCAAGAAACTTGATGCCATTCAGGGCAAAGTAGTCAGGTTGATTGGGAACCACCTTCAACATTCATTCGCTTCACCATTGATGTAGTGAGCCATCAGTGTGCTCCATCTACAAGAGGCACTACAGTAACTCGCCAAGATGTTTCTACAGCACCTTTCAAATCTGCCACCTATACAACGCATAAGGACTGGGGCAGCAGATACCTGGGACACCACCATCTGAATGTCCTCCTACAAGCCACATACCATCCTGTCTTGGAACTTGTGGTTCCTTTCCTGTTGCTGGATCAAAACCCTAGAACTCCCTTCCTCGTTGCATTGTGGATGTACCTCGACCTTGAGGTTTGCTCCAGTTCAAGAATGCAGCTCACCACCACCTTGTCCAGGGCAACTAGGGATCAGTAATCTATGCAGGCCTAGATAGTGGCTTCCACATCCCATTAATGAATTTTGTAAACCCAGTTAAAGCAAAAATTTCCCATTCTTGGCCCAGTTTAAAAAAAAGCTTATCCCAGGTGGCAGAAGGGACTTAGCTGTTCATTGCAGCATCTTGTGATTAGGTGGGGAAGTCAACCGGAGTTCCAGACTGCTGTTTAATGTTTCCTACCTTTAATGTGTAGATGTTAATTCAGGAAAGGGTTGGGCTGCAGTGTGATACCCTACCCCACTGTGACATCCTACCTGATTCTCAGGCCATGGATTATGAATGACTTTTTGGATGATTGTTCTGAACAGCCACAAGTACACAATCCATACCATCATCTTGATCTGGGTGAAAGTGGACAAAAGAAATCCCTGGCAGGATTACTAGGTGGTGTTGCTCATTTATGGAGTACTATTCCTTCCTTTATCTTTCCACCTTTTACCTATTATGTTCCTGTCAGTGTTCTCTGAGATGTCTCTTCTAATCATGGATCACTGATGTAAACACCGAATAACAGAAATAGATCCTGTAATCCTCCCAGTTTATCCTACGCAACTGCAATGCCATGTCCAACATAATGTATACTCTTCACCCCACCTAAAACCGTGTGATCTCCTGAGAGATGAAAAACTAGACACATTAATTCCAGAAAAAATGCTGAAAATTGCTCTGATCCTCTTTGCTATTTTAGTTGATGAAACCCAATCCAAGTGATCAAAGTTACAAAGCACCATCTTTCCTTCTGAGGTGACCCTGTGTCAATTATGTACCGTTTGCTCTATCCTGAGGAGGAATGAACTGAAGTGGCACTTACACCTATATCTCCAATCCATGAGTACTGCACTTATTTCACCATTGCCCACAGAACTCTTTTGATAAGTAATTTTTTCTGTTTCAGATGCTGGCGCTGGCCGTGTTGGATCGGATTGTGGCTATTGACAAACATCAACAGTGGCTCTACTACCTTGCCAACAGTGGCTATCTCAAAACTCTAACAGATAGTCTGATCCAAGATGACGCCATCCTTCAGAGCATGCTTAGTCCCAAACCTCCATTACTGAAAGCCTTATACCTTTATGAATCCAAAATGGCAAGTGTGTGTGTGTGTGTGTGTGTATGTGTGTGTCTACCTGTCTGTTTCTTATGAGGGTAAGGTTTGAAGGGTGTTTATCAAACCAGGTAGCAACTACATTGAGCCCCTCTTCTGCTCCATTAGCTCCATAAGGGGACTGGATTGACGTCAAGTAATGTCTGTCAACAGTGAGAATAGAACACAGAATTTCAGGTTCCAGATCCTGATCTTGGCACTAGTTACTACAAATATATAGAACATGGAACAGTGCGACACAGGCCACCATGCCTAGGCCAACCATGATAACATTTTAAACTAATCCCATCTGCCTGCACATGGTCTGTATCCCTCTATTCCCTGCTTATTCATGTGTCTGTCCAAATACGTCTTAAACATCGCTATTGTATTTCCTTTTACTACGTCCTCTGGCAGCACATTCAAAGAACCTCCTACCCATTGTGTTGAAAAAGCTTGCCTTGTGTATCTTCTTTAAACCTTCCCCCTCTCACCTTAAACCTGTGCCCCCTAATAATTGACATTTCCAACCTGGGGAAAAAGAGTGACTATCCACTCTATCCATGCCTCTCATAATTTTGCATACTTCTGTCAGGTCGCCCCCTCAGCCTCTGTAGCTCTAGTGCAAACAACTCAAGTTTGTCTAACCTCCCCTTTTAGTAATACACTCATCCAGGCAACATCCTGGTAAACCTCTTTTGCACTCTCTCCAAAGCCTCCACATCCTTCTTTTAGTGTGGTGACCAGAACTGCACACAGTACTCCAAATGTGGCCTGACTAAAATTTTATACAGCTGCAACATGACTTGCCAATTTTTTTGTACTCTCTGCCCTGACCCATGAGGGCAAGCATGCCTTACGCCTTCTTTACCACCTTAACTACTTATATTGCCACTTTCAGGCAGCTATAGACTTTCACTCCAAGATTATTCTTGTATTTCAGTGTTCTGAAATGTTCTGCCATTTACTGTCGTCTTACCTTTTGCATTTGACCTCCCAAAATGCATTACCTCTCACTTGTCCAGATTAAACTGCATCAGTTATTTCTCCACCAACTTTCCGGCTGGTCTATATCCTTTAACAACCTTCCTCACAATCCACAACTCCACCAACATGTATGCAGTCTGCAAACTTACTAATCAGACCACCTTCTATTTATCCAAATCATTTATACATATTGCAAACGACAGAGGGCTCAGCACTGATCCTTGTGGAATACCACTGGTCACAGACCTCCAGGCAGAAAAATACCTCTCCACAACTACTCTCTGTCTCCTGTGACCAAGCCAATTTTGTGCCTAACTTGCTGTTCACTGTGGATCCCATGTGAATTAATCTTCTGGACCAGCCTACCATGAGGGACCTTGTTATGTGCTTTAGTGAAGTACATGCAGACGACATTCACTGCCCTTCACTCATCAGTCATCTTCGTCACTTCCTCAACAAACTTAAGCAAATTTGAGAGATAAAAATTCTCCAACACAACCCATGCTAACTATGCCTAATTAGTCCATTCTTCTCCAAATGCAAGTAAATCATGTCTCTAAAAATCTTCTCCAACAATTTTCCTATCACTGATGTAAGGCTCACTGGCTAATAATTTCCTGTATTATCCCTGTTGCCCTTCTTAACCAAAGAAACAACATTGGCTATTCTCCAGTCTTCTAGGACCTTGCCTCTAAAGAGGATACAAAAATCTTTCTGAAGACTGCAGCAATCTCCTCCTTTGCCTCCCTCAGTATCCTGGGATAGATATCATCAGGTCCCATTGACTTATCTATCTTAATGTTTTCAAGACATCCAGCATTACCTCCTTAATATCAACAAAACCCTTTCCATTCTTACCATCATCCACGTCGTCCTTGGTGAATACTGATGTGAAGTATTCATTAAGGACCTCGAACACTTACTCTGGCACCATGCATAAATTCCCTCCTTTGTCCTTGAGGGAACTTACACTTTCCCTAACTACCCTCTTGCTCCTAATATACGTGTAAAATGCCTTGGGATTCTCCTTAATCCCACTTGTCAAGGACATTTCAAGGCTCCTTTAGACCTTCTAACTCCTTGTTTAAGTTTTTTTCTGCTTTCTTTATATTTCTCAAGGGCTTTGTCTGATTTCTGTTTCCTAAACCTTACATATGGTTTCTTTTTCTTTTTGACTAAACTTCCAATATCTCTTTCCATGAGACATTCCTGGTTCTTTCATCCTTGCAGGTACATGCTGGTTCTGAACTCTGATCAGCTGGCCTTTAGAAGGTTTCCACATGTCAGATGTGGATTTACTCTCATAGCCAATCTAATTTCTCGAGGTTCCTGCCTGACGCTGTTATCATTAGCCTTCCCCCAATTAAGTTCTTTGACCCAAGGACCCAGTCTTATCCTTATCCTTAAGTATCTTAGAAGTTATGGAATTGTAATTACTGTTCCCAAAAATGCTCCCCCATTGAAACTTCAATCACCTGGCCTGGCCCTTTCCCTAATACAAGGTCTAGTACTGCCCCTTCCCTAGTTGGACTATCTACATATTATTTCAAGAAACCCTCTGGATGTACCTGGCATTCTGTCCCATTTAAGCCCCTGACACTAAGAGAGTCCCAGTCAATATTGAAGAAGTTAAAATCACCCATGACAACAACTCTGTTCTTTTTATATCTTTTCATGATTTTCCTACAGATGTGTTCCTCTATCTCTCGCTGGCTGTCTGGAAGTCAATAATGTAATCCCATCATTACGATTGCACCTATCTTCCTGACTTCTGTCCATATAGCCTCGTTGGATTAACCCTCCAAGATGTTTTCTCTTAGAGCAGCTGTGATATTCTCCTTAATCAGTAATGCAAGTCCAGTAGTGGAAGCTGTAGTCATTTGCGTGTCAATAAGCCATATCTCCCATGTAAAGCATGTTGGCTCCCTTAACATTATCCTGCGGTTAATTGGTACCAATTGGCTGAATAAGAAACTTAATGGAGAGCATAATGTGAGAAAATTATTCTCTATGTCAGCCTTCTAAAATTAAATAAACCATTTCATTGACAATTATGATAAAGGTCCATCAGTGAGAGTTTTAATTTGGATCATAGATTTATTATTCCGTGAACCTGACCTCTCGTGAACCATATCTGGATGCTTATGCTTAGAGTTTCTGTTTTGTGGTTTGTAGGGATGGTCATCGGTATTCAGCAAGTTAACGCTGTATGGTCGTTTTTTACTGATGCAGGCTTTCTTTTCTAGGACTTCTTAAAACTGCATTCTAATTTTCAAACCATTACATTGTGATTTGAACTCCTTTTTGATTATTAGTCCAGTAGCAGATCATTCCTCCTGATATTCTACTTAAGTGACAACTATGATATTAATGAAAGGAAAATATTGGACCATGTTAATCTATGAAGCTCTATTTATTGTACACTTGATAAAAAACTTATTTTTTAGTAATCAATTGAGGACATTTATCAGTATTAAATCTACAACTACATATATTTGGCCATTTTTAGTTTGTGTGTGTGTGTACATTGTAGGCAAAAGCCAATCCTTGGAGTTTCTAGTTAATGTGAATTGTTTTGTGTTAGCTCTTGCATACCATTTTAGTTTAATTTTTAGCACCAGCCAAATATTTTTCCTTGCAGCAATTTGTTTCTATTGACAGCATTAAGTTTTTGTTGTTTATTATATTCACCAGGCCTTCTTGACGAGAGTGGCTAAGAACCATCATGGAGCCTTGGAGCTTCTGACAGCAGGCATTATTGTGCGCTTGTCCCAGTGCCAGGTCTATGATCACCGGCCTGAAACTGAGTCGCACAGGTAATAAGCGCAAGTTGATTCCTGGGGCAGGCAATAAATGCAGGCCTAACCAGTGATGTCCTTATCATTTGAAAGAATAAAAGCCTAATGTATTTTTATAAAAGCAAAATTAGTGACATTTCATAAGATGGGTGAGCAGCAGTGCATTCAGGTTATGCTGGTGCTGGCTCTTTCCGAGCTCGAACTGTCAGGGTGAATAGTTGGGGGTGGATCTGGAATCTGGGCTCAAGACCTCATGTTTAGTTTCTTGCAGATAAAAATTTAACTAAATCTTTGCAACATTAATAAATATTTCCATGTAAATATAAGTAAGATGGAGAAACAAATGAGTATTTCTGGGTTCCCAAAAAAAAAGGTACACATTGCCTCTGAAATCAGTGATTACTACTGATACATTTGGTTCCTGATAAGTAAATATGCCACAGCATATTGTAGTCAGCCATCAAGCCCATCAGTAACCAGGTCAATTTCAAGCCTGTCTGGAGTGTACTGACTTCAGCCATGATTGGCCAGAAGGCTCCTGAGCGTCCAAGAGTAATACCTGAGGGTAACCAGTCCATCTGTTGGACCAGGAATGGCTACATGACCTCAGACCTTCCTCACAGCCAGTCTTGTGTTGGTTCATTCTAGGTAAACCGTGCTACCAGCTGGATCCACTCTCAGCTAAATGGCTGCAGGGAGTGACCCTTTTTACCATGTTAACAAAGGAATCTTGCACCAAAAAGCTTTGAACTGCAAGATATCCAGGTTTCTTAAACTGTTTAAAGTGATCGATCATGCAAATCTTCATTGTAAAGGATGGCAGCACTTTGAGTATCAGTATAGCTGCAGTATGGTCCTTCTTCACTTCAGTATGCTATGCACATTTTCTTCTAGATAGTTACTAGCCTTCTTTAATACAACACCTTTATCATATTTTCTTCTTCCCCAGTATGTTTTGTATAAGAGACCCATCAGGATTTATCCCAGCCCCTGTGGAGCGGTATCATCAGATTCTGCTCCCAGCTCTTCAACTTTGCCAGGTGATGTTGACCTCCAGCATGGGGAAACACCAGTTGGCTGCAACACAGGTAACTTGTCCAGAAACAGCTCCTCCATTCTGATCAACCATGCAGCTAAGTGTGAGAATGTGCTTAATTGTTAAAGTAAAATGCTTTAGCTCTCATTCTCAGCTCTGTCTCTCGTTTGTGATGTCTCCATGATCTAATAGCTTGCTGGTGCTCATTGCATAGCCTCATGGATGAAACATGCCCACTGTGCCAGTAGTCTGAGAGAAACATGGTTGGCACTTCGTGGGAAACATGCTAGAAGAAATTTCTTTGAGTGTAGAATTGCATTTGAGGAGAAAAGTGCAATGCAAGAGTAAAACAACCAGTTAGACACATGTGAAAGGCATTCATAAATCTTCATAAAAATGAAATGTATCTGTTTGAAATGTGTTGTATGATCCAGTAGCAGCTGAACAAGTCTAACGGTTTAGCTGAAATGAGTGTCAGCCATGGCTCAGTATGATTTTATGTTCCAGTATCTAGTGTGGGACTTAAACCCTGACCTTCTAAGCTAACACTTGTGAAATATTGAGGGAGTGTTGGATTTGGGTGAGTCATTTGACTCCTTGAGTGATGTGAAGAATTCTCTGATACAATTTGAAGAAAAGAGAGAGTTCTCCATGGCGTTCTGGTGAATATTTTCCTCTCGAGCAACATCACTGACGTTTACCTGGTCATTATGTTGCTGTTGGGGAAGCTTGCTGAGTGCAAATTGCCTCCATTTGATTCAAGGCATACAGAGTCTGTAAAGGGTTCAGGTAGGTGAATAAGCAAAGATTTGGCAGATATGGGTAAATATAAACTTGTATACTTTAGCGGGGAGAATAGAAAAGCAGTGAATTAGTGAAATGGAGAGATTACAGAACTCCAAGTTTTAGGGGGATCGTAATATCCTGGGACATGAATCAAAAGGTACACCCAATGATGTAATAATATTGTTTATAACAAAGGGAATGGAGCGTAAAAGTACAGATGTTTTGCAGCAGTTTGTACGTGCATCTAGTGTATTTTGCGGTTTTATGCTCCTTATTTAAGAATGGATACAAATGTGTAAGGAGCAGTCCAAAGAAGAGTCATGCGACTAAACTTGTGTTGGAGATGTTATGAGGAAAGGTTGGACAGATATTGGGTATCTGCCAATATCCTTAGAGTTCAGAGAATAAAAGGTGATTTCGTTGATCCTGAAAGTACAGGATGGATGCTGAAAGGATGTTTCCCCTTCTAGGATAGACTGGAATTATAAGATACCATTTAAAAATAAATGCTATCCCATTTAAGATTAAAATGAAGGGAATTTTATTCTCTCAGGGTTGGCAATCTTTGTAATTCAGAGAACAGTGGAGTCTAGGTCATTTTAGGAGCGATCCTTAACTAACAAAAAAGTTAGTGGTAATCAGGGGTGGGTGGGAATGTAAAGTTGAGGCCACAGTAAAATTAACCACAATCCTACCAAATAGCAGAGCAGACTCGCTGCCGAACGATTTACTCCTGCTCCTAATTCGTACATTTGTATGTCCTCTTCACAACAGTAACTTCACTTAAAAAGTATTTGTTTGGCTGAGGTCATTTGTGATGCCCTGAGTGCTATATAAGTGCAAATCTGTCTTTCTTAGTCTCATCTGATCATAATAGTCTTTCTTCTTTCCCCTGCAGGTACTGCAGTTTCTAATTTCCCATTCAGACCCCATCCAGGCTATTCTACGCTGCCAGGAGTTAACTGCAGCATCCCTGAAGGAGTTAGCACTTTTGACAGGCATTATAAGCAAGGCAGCCTTACCAGGTAAGAAATGATAATGTAAGAACCGTCCTTGTTTCAAGACTTGTACTTGGTTGTTTGCCTATTTATTTTCCTTGTGCCTAAGGTTTCAGATTCTGTGGATTTTGTCACTAACTGTCACTTTTTTAGCCTGATGCCTTGGTTGATGAAGACATCAATTATACTGGTATTAAGTGACATGGGCCATAGACCTCAGTTTGATTTTTAATCTGTGCTGAGTTAGTTGATTGCACCAGGGACAGCTATTGAAATTCTACAATTAGGCTCAACAAGCAAGTAGATACAGTGACTCAAGCTTTTCTATTTATTGTGCTAGTTTCTGCATCCCTGTACCAAAAACTGGTGGGAACTCTTTTTGATTCATCTCTCAACCATTGCCATCAAAAGTAATTTAGCAGGTCCTTCACCTTCAGGAGTAGGGACCACATGTGCCTTTTGTGGCCTATTGACACTACTGTCTGAATGTACTAAAGAAGAATGAGCAGTGTAGTGGATATTATTGCCTGTCCATGCTGGACAGCCTTAACAATTTAGGTATTCATAAGAGAGGAGGAGAATATTGGTTGTAATGTTTGTTTATTTTCAGGTGTGGTAAGTGTGATAGAAATGGATGGTAAACATGGGGCAACCATGGAATTTCAAGGTCAAATTGGACGTTTCCAGGTATTTAACTTTGTATTTTAAAATGTTTATGTCTTTCCTTGGAATTTCTTTTTTTCCTTCCCACTATTTTTTGGTTCTTTGCTGTTTGCAGCACTCTGGTTTAGAACTCTCAGACTAATTCTGCAGAATTATCTTTTGGAGAGACGGTTGTATAGTGGTAATTTAAAAAAAAATATAAAGCTCTGTCTCGGACATAGTTAGATCTGCAGATGCTGGAGTCAGAGATAACAGTGTGGAGCTGGAGGAACACAGCAGGCCACGCAGCATCAGAGGAGCAGGAAAGTTGATGTTTCGGGTCAGGAAGCTATGTCTTCCCATTTTAGAGGTTCAACTATATGTAAATGATTTTAAACATTGTTTAAAGAAAGAAAGTAGTGAGAATATCTGTGTTTCCACTGAACATTCCTCTTACAATAACATCAACTGTTGCAAATCATTGTCATTTCTGGGACCTTGCTGTGCCAAACAACTGTTGCATTTTTCTATTATGTTCAGTGCACTTTAAAACTCTGTGGCTTGCTGTGATTCATTTCCCACTACTCCGGGATCAGCATTGTCTGTACAGACTAGTGTGAACCAGGGAACTATTGCTGGAGAGCCCTGTGAAAGTGAATGTATTCAGTTCTATCAAGATTTTTGAGCACATGCTGCACATTCAATGATACTTACTCTATCCAGATACTCAGCCCACATCTCCACATTAGTGCTAGCCATGCTTTGTATTGTAATCAGAGTGCCCTGACTTTCAGCAGTATCACTGGGAAACCAGCACAGTGGTTCAGTGGTTAACACTGCTGCCTCACAGCACCAGGGACCCGGGTTCAATTCTACTCTCAGATGACTGTCTGTCTGGAGTTTGCGCATTCTCTCCGTGTCTACGTGGGTTTCCTCCAGGTACTCCGGTTTCCTCCCACAGTCCAAAGATATGCAGGTTAGGTGGATAGGCCATGGCAAATTGCCCATTTAAAAAAAAACTCTCCTGCTCCTCTAATGCTGCCTGGCCTGCTGTGCTCCCCCAGCTCCACACTGTGTTATCTCTGACTCGAGCATCGGCAGTTCTTACCATCTCTGAATGAGTTTGATGTCTGCTGCTTTTCCAGATGTACAGAAGACTGCCCTCTGGCTCAACACAGGCCCTGATTCCATCTACTCAATACTTGACAGATTGAGAACAGTATTTAATATTTTGCTTGTGACAGATTTAAAGTTTAACATGAAAGTGTATTTGCTTCTTTTGCGCTTCTCGAGTATTTTAAATGTGTTATTGCGTATTGTGTGTCTTACTATATTGTCACTTTTTGCTGAGAGGCACATTACATTTTCGGTGAATACAAGTTTCAGCATTGATGGCTTGTATTTATCTTTTGTGATCACCAGCGTCAGTGCCTGGGCTTGCTCAGCCGATTCACTGGATCTGACCGACTTTATGAGGTAAAGAAGCAACAGGATGGCACTCGGGTCAGCGGAATGAGCAAGAAGGATGAGATGGAGCTAGCTATACAACAGGTAAAATTCAAATCAGATCCAGGAAATGAGGTCTCCTGATTATTTGTTTATGAAAACTGCAAGACTGACAATGCTATGTTAAAGGGGCACGTGAACCGAAGAATTTGGGAAAAGTTGGTAAACCTTTTTTTTTGTATCGTTAAAAAGAATTGGATCTATTCTGTTATCAACTTGTGTTTGTGCAGCAATCACAATGCTTGAAGCTTCCAACCCAGAACAGATACATAGCTGCATACTTATTCTGAAGAGCATATGTGGAGAAAGACAGTGTATAGTCGCTGATGCTTCCTGTAATCTGATCCTAATTTTAACCAACTTAGCTGGGTATGTTATTAAATGTTGTTTTACAGTTTTGCAGCAGATATAACAAATGTATTTTGTATTACTGGTAATTTTCAGGAACCAACACACCCAACACCATTTTAGAGGCATGTGTTAGGATCTATCCTTTTTGAGAGATGCAAGCAATTTTATAGAATTTGAGGACAGAAATAGATCATTCAGCTCTCTCATGCATTGGTCTACATTTGGAAAGAGCAATCCATTTGGCCCCATTTCACCTACTATTTTCAAATAACCTTGCAAAACCTGTCTGGGATTAATGTGAAAAAATCGTTGGTTCTTAAAAAAAAAAAAAAATCCTGGCTGTATGTCAGGAGAAGGATGAGCCTCTATCTGAACGAAGGGTTTAGTGGTTTCAGTTGTTAATGTGATGTTTCTTAGGAGACCTTATTGAAATGGAATATAACACTTATCGTTTTCAGTCTGCTCATGCACATATCAAGTATTCTGCTGTTTTATTTTCTGTTTTTCTAAGTTTACTAATTGTGAACAAATTTGATACTAATGGGAGCCTGATTTTTCTCTCTCTCTCTCTTCCTTCAAAATGAACATCATAATATGGTGACTGGGTCACTGCTAAAATGATATTAATAAATATTTGGAGTGCTTCATACATTAGAAGCAACTTCCATTTCAAGGAAGTTGCCAGGCAGCTTTATTTAAATTGCATTTTTTTTGCAGTTCACAAGATTGAATGTTAAGAGAAGTATTTACCTGCAGCAGGAACATTGGTAGGCAAATGACAGAAAAGCTTTTATTATTTTCTGATTACTCTGTGATGTAAACAGTGGTTCTTGTCTCTGTCTTTTCAGATTTGTGCAAATGTGGTGCAATACTGTCAGAAGCTGCTGATACAGAGCAGTCCTGGATCCCAGTACACTATCTGCCTTTTTACTCCCAGTCTTGCTGAAGGCACATCTCGAGAAGCAAGTAGGCAAGGTGAGCTGAATGCCTCCCGGTTGCACTCCTCACCAGAAACATATTTTACCGTATGTTCATCTACCCTTCTGTAGATTCTAAATAATATCCACTCCATGTTAAATGTTCACAGGAAAACATTTCTAGAGCTGCTGTGTGGTAAAGCATGGCTGCATGGGGGAGCCTGGCATTTGGCGGGGCGGGGTTGGAGTTGGTCAGTTTTTCTGAGCACATAATTTCAGAAACATTTGTTTCTTTTCCTCTGCAACTCTTTACAGGTTAATGGGCTGTTCTTTTGAGGTTAAACCCAGATTAAAATTTTATTAGTGGGGATTTGAGGCCAAAGGATTTGCTCCTCTTTGTTAAAAGTACAAGAGCTGACATAAGTGCTCTTTGTGTTTTTATAAAACTACTAATAAAATGAGAACCATTTCACGTGAAAGAGTGAATATTGCAAGTGAATATTTGTCTTTGCCAGGCAGTCCAATATTTCTCTGTTTAGTAACAGTAACTCAGACTATTACTACCCCTGCCTCTGAATTTTGAATGTTTCTCTGGTCAGACTTCACAGGGAACCTCTGCCTTTTCTAAAAGTGTAGAACAAGAGAAGTAAACACAGCAGGTGTGATTCAAATGCTGTTACCCTGCCCAAGAAAGATATCTCTCAGCCAGTGGGGATATGGAAGGAGTAGAGGAATTGTTTATCAACATAGAAAGGAGAGTCATGGAAAAGACTGTGTGTTTGATAGTGACTATTTTTGACAGAGATGATACACCTTGACCATCTTTCAGTTTGTCTGTGTTGAATCTTGATAACCAGGGACTCCTTGAGATCTGGGGACTGGGGTTCAGGGTTGTGGGCCGCTATTGTGTGTGTGAGAATAAGAGTTGACATTTTCTGGCTTGAGCTCCAATGAAGGGAATGTTATTTCTACCCACTTGCAGATGCTCCATTGCCAATGGTACCTTACTGGAGGCTGCCCAGCCTTGGAGTCGTTCTGTTCCTGTTGAAGCAAAGTGCAAACGATTTCTTCAGCAACTACGAGATCCACCGGCAGAGTGTGACCAAGTACCAGAATCTGCAGCATCTACCCCCAGATGAAATCAAGGAGGTGGGTGTGTGGCAACATAGGCTCTAATTTACTCTGCGTATATGTCAGTGCTTTTTGGCTCAATGAACCTAGATTGTATCAGCTTGCAGTCTGTTCCGAAGAAATCAGCTCGACTTCCTTGACACTTTTTTCTCGTTTTTGTGATGTTCAGAGTCACTTTTGTTGTCTCCTTGTACTTCCTCTAGGGCAGCCATTTCCTGATTATGATAGATGCCCAGCGGCCCGCAGAATGGATTCTGGTAACCGTTTGCAGCAATAGATAATGAAATAGTCTGTCTTGTCTCCCACAGCTGTGTCAAGCAATGGTACCCTTTGGAGTAGACAAGATTTCAGCTGTTCAACGGCATGTTCTGGCAAGACGTAGGCTTGTGCAGCAGATCAATCACCGGGCTGAGCTGCTGTCCCTCTATTGCTGTATCCTTCACTGCCTCTTTCTTTCCAGTTCAATGTAGCAGGTGAAAACCTTAGAATTTCTGTCACATGCAGCTTTCTTCTGAATTTCCCAACATTTTAATTGAGACTTTGTCTGGGACTGCGTGGAAGATGTACAGTGTATTGGACATTTGAATATTTGTTAGGAACTTGAGATACAGGGCTGAGTCCCATCATACATGACTGTGGCTAAAAGCAAGCAAAGGGGCACTTCCAGGCTTGTAGATTGTAGGAGAAAGCAATTGTGTTTCTGTTGGTTTTGTATCAGAATGCCCACGTGTCTCACATGCCAAAGACTCTGCACCTACATAATCAATCAATTCATTATAATAAGGTGACACCTAATAGGATATAAAAGCACCAAAGAGAATTAATAAATTCAAGTATAGTATGACTTAGGATACTTTGACATATCTAGTGCTCTGACATATCCAATCCTGGCATATCCAAAAACAAACCATACAATTTAATTTTAAATCATAAGGTTTATAGCAATACTCATGAACCACAGAAAGCCCTTCAAACATTTGCCAGTGGTTTGGAGAATAAGATGTAAGTAGCCACAGTAATGAGTAAACTGTGAGCCAAGAAGCAGCAGAGAGGAAACAGAGTAGGAATTAATGAGTCCTTTTCAAATTGGCAGGCAGTAACTAGTGGGGTGCCACAGGGATCGGTGCTGGGACCCCAGCTATTCACAATATATATTAATGATTTGGATGAGGGAACAAAATGCAACATCTCCAAGTTTGCAGATGACACCAATTTGGTTGGGAGGGTGAACAGGGACAAGGATGCAGAGATCCTTCAGTATGATCTTGACAGGTTGGGTGAGTGGGCAAATCAATGGCAGATGCAGTGTAGTTTGGATAATTGTGAGGTTATTCACTTTGGAAGCAAAAACAAGAAGGCAGATTGCTACCTGAATGGCTGTAAATTGGGAGAGGGGAGTGTGCAGTGGGACCTGGGTGTCCTTGTGCACCAGTTGCTGAAGGTAAGCATGCAGGTGCAGCAGGTGGTAAAGAAGGTAAATGGTATGTTGGCCTTCATTGTGAGAGGTTTCGAGTACAGGAGCAGGGATGTGTTGTTGCAGTTATACAGGGCCTTGGTGAGGACACACCTAGAATATTGTGTGCAGTTTTGGTCTCCTTTTCTGATGAAGGATGCTCTTGCTCTCGAGGGAGTGCAGCGAAAGTTTACCAGGCTGATTGCTGGGATGGAGGGTCTGATGTATGAGGAGAGATTGACTAGATTAGGATATTTTTCACCAGATTTCAGATGAATGAGGGGGGAATCTCATAGAGACTTAACATTCTAACAGGACTGGACAGAGTAGATGCAGGGAGGATGTTCCCAATGGTGGGTGTGTCCAGAACCAGGGGTCACAGTATGGGAATTCAGGGTAGACGATTTAGGACGGAGATGAGGAGACATTTCTTCACCCAAAGAGTGGTGAGCTTGTGGAATTCATTATCACAGGATTGTAGTTGATGCCAAAACATTGAATGTATTCAAGAAGTGACTAGATATAGCACTTGGGGCGCATGGGATCAAGGTTATGAGGAGAAAGCAGGATTAGGCTATTGAGTTGGATGATCAGCCATGATGATGAAGAATGGTGGAGCGGGCTCGAAGGGCCGAATGGCCGCCTTCTGCTTCTATCTTCTATGTTTCTAGAAATATTTAGCAGACCAGACAGCAGCCCTGCAAATCTGCCACTCCCACTCAACGAATCAATTTGCACAAATCCAGCCAAGTTAACACTCCGGGCAAAGCTCCTACTGTAGACAGTAAGGCCTTTTAGCCACCAGCTGAGTGATGAAAGAAAGCTAACCTTTCAGCCTGACCCCATTGAAGATGAAGGTTATTTGTTTTCCCACTTCTGCCAAAGCAAAATGGGCCTCCCAGATCCAGCGTAATTTCTACTTTCCTCCATTTTCACACTAAAAACAATCTAAACTTCCCACTATACTGAGGAAGAACTCACTCTGCATCTGATATATAAATTCCACATCCCTCTCTCAGCATCCCCCTCCCTGATCCTTGAATCCAAAAAGAACAAATGTTCTCATCTAGCATTCATTTCCAAGCCAGCTGTGCTTTCCCAGTTGCATCACTGACTTTTGCTTTCTTATTGTTCGATGTGGATGCACAGCTATTCCTTCTTAAATAGAAAAGAAACAGCATTTAATGTTCTGACTTCAGATTTTCAGTGTCTGCTTTTTCTAATAGCATTTCATATGAATGAAATAGCATCTTCTGCTCTGTTCCTTGACCTATTGTAATTTTTCAGTCATTGTGGAAAATTGTCTCTTTATCTTGTGGCGACATCTAGAGTATTACTTCCTGTATTTTACACCACCTGATGCCCATGTTTCCCTGAATATCCAGAGTGGATCTTACAGAGGCAGGCGATTTCAAGGTAAGCACCAGACTTGACATTGAGCAGTGCACACTTTTGACTGGCATTGCGATACTCCTTCCTAATGCCCATTCTGGAGTCTCATTGTTTTCCATGTAGTAGTTAGTACTGTATCACTTGCAGTTCTGCAATGGATTATATATCTGTGAATCATCCCACTCCGTCTGCTCACCAAGGTTCAATATTCTGTGCAGCAGGCACAGTGAAAAGGAAAGATTTACATGGAGCTTGTGGTACACACTTGTAAGGGCTGAGCGATTTTGAAAAGCGTTTTCAGGCATGGCATTAACCAATAGAAACTAGAAATGAACTGATTCAATTCCTGGTCTGAGCTGAGGGTGTTGTAGTTAACTTAAGACTAAGAAGCTAAGAAGGTGCTGATAACCATGTGGCTTGCTTGACCACTCCAGAAATCACCACAGGGACTATAAACAGCAGCAAGTGTAAATATCCTTGGGCCATGTCACTGCTAGAGGCCCCTCACAGATTTGATCTGGAACAATGTGAAGTGGATAACTTCTAGATACAATGGCAATGTTGGCCCCAATATGAAGTGCCTAATTTCTGGGATACTTATTGCTTGATACGTGAATTGAATGCTACTCCATTCTATCTATTTTATTAACCCCAGATCGCAGTGGTCTTGATGCAAGTCCTGAATCCAGGCGCCTTGTTCTAAGTCAAGTAAACCAACATGATATTGAGCAGGTAGGTTTTTAATTTTTGTTGCAAAGCTTATTTTACTTAGCTCTGAAATATTGATGTTCCGGTGTAATGAATAAATGATCTGAAGAATGGTCACAAAAGAGTATCTGAAACAGGGTGCACCCTGAGCAAGGAACATTCATTTGGAAATTGGCAAGAATGGAAATTTGGTGCTAAGAGATAAGGAGGTGCTACTTTTTGCTGTGGTACTGTTACAGGAAAAAGTTTAATTTAGTTATCCTATAAGATCAAGTCATTAGCTAAAATTAATTGTGTAAAGGAATTTCAAGTCAATAAAACAAGGTTAGATTGAGATGGCAGTGTACCTCAAGTTTTTTTTTATTCTTTATTGCATCTTGAGATGTGCACGTTACTGGCAAAGTCACCATTTATTCCCTATCCCTAGTTATCATTGAGCAGAGCTGGTGAGTTCTTGAATCACTGCAGTCTGTGTCGTATAGCTACTCCCTCAATACTGTTAGGCCTTGCGCTCATCTAGGAAGGTTGAGAATATTCCATCATACTCCTGACTTTCTGAGAATAAAAAGGTGAACATGAGCCCATTAGAAGTTGAGACAGGAGACATAAAAGCAGGAGAACACTAACAGGCATTTATAAAGAAAAGCACCTGCCTTCACAGAATAAACAAAAAAATTAATGGAAAGCCTAGGATTTAATGAGATTCAGAAAGTAACTAATATTAGTGAAGAGAAAATACTGGAGAAATTAAATGGACTGAAACCTGGCAAATTCCTGGATATGGTGGCCTAGATCCTATGGTCCTAAAATGGGTAACTATAGAAATTACCGCTGAACTGGTTGTGATCTTTCAAAATGCTCCAGATGTAGAAATGATCCCAGTGAGTTGGAAGGTAATAGGTGTAACAACACTTCAAGAAAAGCAGGAGAAAATAGAGAACTAGTTGTTAGTTCACTGGACGTCAGTTAGTGGAAATAATTGGAATCTATTAGATGGCAACAGGGCATTTGAAAAATCATATTATGATGACAGACTTCGAGGCTTAATTAGACTTTTTGCTGATGGCTGGATAAACGGAAACTGGTGCATGTAGTATATTCAAATATTTGCTAAGCACATGACAAGGTGTCACAAGGTAAGAGTTCCGGAAGTTGGGAAGATTAGGTTAACAGAGGTGAAGGATTGGCTAAAAGACAGACAACAGCAGAAACCAGCAAATCATTTTGAGGTGACAGGCCATTTATGGAATGCTGCAAGGATCCAATGTCGAGTTATTTGAGCTATAATAGTGATTTAGAGGAAATGGTGAAATGTAATGAAATGGGTTGCCTACAGTTGGTGTGAAGTGGACACATGCAAAGTAACACAGGCAGATGAAGTGAGTCATCAAGAAAGTGGCAAATGGAGTACAATATGTAGAGATGTTAGTTCATCTACTTCGGTAGGAAGCATGAGTAAGCCATATTTTTTAAATGGTTTAAAGTGTTTGTGTTCAGAACGATTTGGATGTGTTTATACATGATGCATAAAAACTTAACATGTGAACATTTGATTATATTTTATTGCAAGGGGGTTAGAAGTAAAGAGGTCCTGCTGCTGCGATTGGATGGGGTTTTGGTCCCCAGACCCAAGGAGGGATAGATATTTCTAAGTAATCTGTTCAGGAATGTTATGACACACTTCTGGAGAAGGTGGGATTTTAACCCAGGTCTCCTGGCCCAGTGTTAGGGGCACTACTGCTGTGCTGCAGAACCCCCAAAGAGGGATAGATGTTTTCTATTCAACTTGTTACCTCTGGAGCAGGTGGAACTTGAACCCAGGCCTCTTGGTTCAGACGTAGGGACACTCTTGCTGCACCTCAAGCCCTCCAAGAAAGGATATACTTACCTTAGAGGGGGTTCATTAGATTGATTTCTGTGATGAGAGGGTTGCCCTGTGAGATGAGTCTGAGTAGAATGCCCTAGATATGAGAGATGATCTAATTGAAAAATGTAATTTTCTGAGAGACTTCACCGGCCAAATGCTGAGTCGCCTCTCCCTGCTTAGAGACACTCAGACTTGAGGACATTGTCCGAGGAGAAGGAGTCATCAGTTGAAGACTGTGATAGAAATCTCATCACTGAGAGTCTTTGGGATTCTCTTTCCCTGAATGGTTGTGAATGCTCAGTTGTTGAGTGCGGTTAAAACTGAGATCAGTAGTCCTTTGGGGTTTAAGGGAATTAAGGTTATGATGATCTGGTGAGAAAGTGATGTTGAGGCCAAAGATCCCTCAGAATTGTATTGAATAGTGGAGCAGGCTTGACAGGTCATATTGCCTACTCCTGCTCTTATTTCTCATCTTCTTTTCATTTGAAAATCAAGTTTGTAAAATAAAATCTTGTTTTGTACACCATTGGTTTTGTGAGTTAAATGCAGAAATGCAGGCCCAAAGGGGAGGCCTGTTTCATTGCTGGTAATCTTTAAATGGATCCTTCTCAGCTGTGGTGCTGCCCACAGCCAAATAGAGTGCAGTTTGCACAAATGCAGAGTTATGGAGCGCTGAAGGAGGCATGTAGGGGTATGAAGATGAGGGGAGATGGAGAAAAAGATGATTTTCAAAGTAGCCATTTCAAGTGAATTCAGTGCCTGCTTTTTCACCACCCGAGAAATGGTATTATGACTTTTCAAAGTAAGGGGCTTTACGGCCTTTCTGCTGAAATGTGCAGAAGTTTGGTGGTTAGCAATTTACCCAAATCGGCAAACACTCCTTTCCCATCTCGTTGAATTAACTGGTCAGCTGTCACCCACAGCAGTGAGACAAAGCTCCCAATGCCCCATCACTTCCGGTGTAAAATTCACAAAGGAAACTTTTGTCTGAATGGGGTTAGAAAATAAAGCTTGGCTAGTACACTTGTGTTTAGCACTTTGTCATGTCATGTGTCCGATGTTGGAAGTGTCAGAATGAAATGCGTAGCCTCTGTCTTCATGATAAAAGTGTATAAATTGGAAAGGATGTTAGAAATGCATCTAATCAGCCGTGGCATTTAATAACTGAGTGTTCTGGGTTCTTCTTTCAGCTTCAGATTGATGCATCGGCAAGTTTTGGGGAGTCTCTGCAGAAGAAGCTGCTTGACATTGAGAGTGTTTACTGCAAAGTTCGGTCACGACACTTGTTTATTCAGGCACTGGTTCGACGAATCCGTGGCCTTGTGAGGATAAAGAGGTCCTGATGGTCTTCTGCTCAGCCACAAGTGACTGTGCATACCATTCACCAGCTGTTTTAATCTCTCTTTCTTCTCTTCCGTGCCCCACCACCAATTAAAATTATGGGCTTCTGTACAGCTCTCAGTAACTACTCTGATTTTTTTTTTTGTACTAAGGATTGAACTGTAATTACAATTAAATGTTATTTTTCACGAAGAATAAATTTCAGTTTAAGTTTTTGTCTGATGTCAGAAATGAAAAATGGGGATTGATTAGTCTGAAAAGGACACTTCTTTTTCTGAAATGATTTCCCAATTGTCCTTCCATTACAACAGCAGCAAGTTATACATTGAAAGAACACAGCTACTGTCTTCACCATTTTGCAATAAACACAATTGTTTGTCTTCTAAATTTTATCCCTGTATGGTCTTCCTCTCTTGACTTGGCTTAATTGGTAGCAGTTGAATACCATTCCAGAGAGATGAGACGTACCTTGTAGTCCTGAGTAAGTGCTGCATTGTCTAAAGTGCACTCTTTTTGAATGAGGTATTGAACAGAAGCTCATGCTCTTCACAGGTGAATGTAAAGGACCTTTGACATAAAACGTAGTGTGGTCTCCTTTTGTCCTTGCTGAGGTGCCATCAGACTCCTGATGAATACAGACTAAGCCGTCTTTCTGCCACTGAAATAGGTAATATTTCAGGTCGATGACATCTCATCAATCTTGCATGCAAATTTCATAAAATGTCACTAAGTTTTCTGCCAGTCATGCCAATTTTGGTCTATTTGGGTCAAAAGTAAACCATAGAAAAAGAGCTAGTGCAATCAAGCAGAAACTTAACACTATTCTCCTTTTTGTCCCAGTCTTCTACCACATCATCATTGACCTAAATGATAACTCTTGCCCCCTCCACAGATTCTGCCTGACAAATATTTTTCAATAATTTAAAATTGAATTTCAGAATTCGTGAAGTCACACTGGTCAAAAGTATTATTTTCTTTGATAAACCCTTTTCAATTACTTAAACTGCACCAAAGTACTATCATTCAGTATGTTAAAAGAAAGTTTTTAAAGCAAAGATACTTTTTCAAACATAGATAGCAGGAACTGCAGATGCTGGAGAATCTGAGATAACAAGGTGTACAGCTGGATGAACACAACAGGCCAAGCAGCATCAGAGTAGCAGGAAGGCTGACGTTTCGGGCCTAGACCCTTCCCGAAATGTCAGCCTTCCTGCTCCTCTGATGCTGCTTGGCCTGCTGTGTTCATTCAGCTCTACACCTTGTTATCTCATACTTTTTCAAACATTCATTTTAAGCCACTGGTTCTATGGGCTTGGTGTATAATCAATGCATGGAAGCACATAGAATATTTTTCAAAGTGGATTCCAGTTTTCCACTGGAATCAGTCATTGTGACCAAAGCTGAAATTCTACTCCAATGGGTATAAAGGAAGTGACTGATGGTGTTCCATAAGGCCCGTGCTGAGGCTTTAGCTAACTAGCTACTATATTTATTGGTGACTTAGATTATACAACAGAGTGCTGTATATCCAAGTAAGTGCTGACACAGTGATGGATAGTGTGGTAAATTGTGTAGAGAGGACCATAAAATTACAAAGAAAAGAATGATAGATTAAGTGAGTGAGGAAAGGTGTGACATATGGATTTCAATACGGGCAACTGTGAGGTCATGCATTTTCTAACCCAAAATTAATAGGTTTGAATGTTGTTTAAATAATGAAAAGCAGGAAACGGACCCTCAATGTCCAAAGAGATTTAGGGATCCATGAACACATCATTAAAGTTAAAGACTAATGATATGTCAGCTTTTACAAATTGAGACCTAGAATATTAAGGGGAGGATATTCTGGTACTGCATAAAGTCTTCTAATGGCCTGACAAAGTAATGTGTATAGTACAGGGCAACACTCTTGGTGGAACATTGCAGATCAGATTCTTCATGTTGCTAACACTTGAATTTTTATAGATACCAGGTTTACATTCTGGGGAAGGTCAAAGGATGAGTTTAAATGTGTTTTTTTTTTAGGATTTGGCGAGCAATTGCTATGTCAAAAGGAAAAGTTCCCAACTGGTAGAGGAGCCTAGGATAAGGGTTGTTATCAGAGCCAGACCGTTCAGGAGAAGAGTTAAGAAATCTTTGTGCCAAATGGTACCGAATGTGTGGAACACTCCCACAAAAAGCAGATTTAAATCGGAGAGTGAAAGGTTTTTTCCTTCTAGGCAGTGATATAAAAGGTCAAAGTGCCAAGGCAAGTGAGTCAGTTGAGGTACACGCATCAGCCTAAATCTGATTGGATGGAATGGCAAGCTCTGTTTATATTCTTAGAGGGTTATTGGGCTTTTGGAAAAAATAAACCTAAGTAGCTATGGCCTCTCATGTTGAATGGATGAGTAAACACTGACTCCTGCTGGTAGTGGAATACCCCTTGGGGGTAAACAGCTGTAGGTAGAATATCTCAGGGGGGTAGACAGTGAGCCCTGGTGGTGGGATATCCTTCAAGAGTAAACAGTGATCATTTGTAGCACTGACCCATGGACTTCTTTCATCATTCTGGATTTGATAAGATTGTTTGCAAAACTAATGGAACAGGTCTGGAAGAGTCAGATTGTGTAGCAAAGGGGTATTAATGAGCTTATATTGGCCTTCCATGAATTATTTGTGAACACTTGGAATAATTCAGTCAGGAAGTATATCACAAAGAGCTGAGTTTCTGGATTTTTTTCTGCTTCTAGACGTACTCTTCATAGTCCAAGGCCCATCCACTTTTAATTGTTGCCTTTGAGCAAATACTACCCACCTGAGATACTCTGATGTAGGAAGCACAATCGGTGTTTCCTCTGTGGTCTCTTAGCTGTGAAAGTGTGCTTCCAGGACTGTCTTGTCTTCGTATCAGATGAAAAAGAATGTTTGCTCTGTGTTGCTCCTGAAGTTGAACAGCCATCTCAAATTTTTGGGCTACGAGCTCACATGTATTAATCTGATCATTTCATAGAATCCCCTACAGTGTGGAAACAGGCCCTTTGGCCCAACAAGTCCACACTGACCCTCAGAGCATCCCACACTGACCCATACCCCTATAACCCACCTAATCTACACACCCCTGAACACTAGGGGCAATTTAGCCTGGCCAATCCACCTAACTTGTATATCTTTGGACTGTGGAAGATACCGGGGCACCTGGAGGAAACCCACGCTTAAAAGACCCTGTACCTTTCACTGGGGAGCTCCCAAAGTGCTTCAGTGCCAATGAATTACTTTGAAGAGTAGCCACTTGTAATATAGGAAATGAAGAAGCTAAATTCTTTACAGTCTGTTCCTCAAAATAGAAATGTATTAATGATCAGAAAACCAATTTTTAGATTGGCCAAAACAACGGGACAACTTCCCTGCTGGCTTTAAGATAGTAGTCATGTGATTTCTGTAATGTTCACCAGAAATGATAGGCAGTGTCATTGGGGAAAATAATGTGGCACAGGTTTATAGAGTGGGTCCTGACTCGACAATCAGATTTGGATGCAGCAGCGTTCCTGGCTGAACTGGGGAAGATCATTCTTCAGATTAAATTGTGTCATCAGGAATTATTGTTACACAAACTCTGATCTGTTCCCTTTAATAAAAATTTCATGGGACAGGCGTGTTGCTGCTGGGCCAGTATTGTCTGTCCCTAGTTGCCCTTGAAAAGGTGATGGTGCTCTGTAGCCTTGAATAGCTGCAGTCCATGTGCTGAAGGTGCACCCATAATGCTGTTAAGGAAGGAATTCCAGGATTTTGACCCAGCAACACTGAAGGAACAATGATGTACTTCCAAATTATAGAATCCCCACAGTGTGGAAGCAGGCCATTTGGCCCATCGAGTCCACACTGACCCTCAGAAAAGCATCCCTCTCAGATCCACTCCCCTTACCCTATAACCTTGCATTTCCCATGGCTAACACATCTAGCCTGGACACTATGGGCAATCTAGCATAGCCAATCCACCAAGTCAGGATGTTAAGTGACTTGGAGCAGAACTTGAAGTGGTGGTGTTCCCATGTATGTGCTGCTCTTGTCCTTCTAGGTAGTAGAGGCCATGGGTTTGGAAGGTGCTGTCTAAGAAGCTCAGGTGAATTCCTGCAGTACATGTTGTAGATGGTACACAGTGCTGCTACTGAACATCAGTAGTGGAGGAAGTGAATGTACGTGGTGCCAAACAAGAAGGTTGCTTTGACCTGAATGGTGTCAAGCTTCTTGTTGCAGCTGCATCCAATCAGACAAGTGGGGAGAATTCCATCACACTCCTAACTTCTGGATTGTAGATGGTGGACAGGCTTTGAGGAATCAGGAAGTTACCCTGATATGCACTGTAACCAATGTATTTATTTAGTTACATAGCTAGTTCAGTTTTTTTTTGGTTCATTCACAGGATGGGGACATTGCAGGCTAAGCCAGTATTTATTGCCCATCCCTAATTGCCCAGAGGGCAGTTAAGAGTCAACCACATTGCTATGGGTCTGGAGTCACATATGCCAGGCAAGGTAAGGATAGTAGCTTCACTCCCTAAAGGACATTAGTGAACCAGATGGATTTTTCTGACAAACAACAAATAGATTCATGGTCATCATTGGACTCTTAATTCCAGGTATTTTCTGATGAATGGTAGCTGCCAGTTTGCTTGTAGTGGAGGATTCAATGATGCTAATGCCATTGAATGTTAAGTGGTGATGGTTAAATTGTTTCTTATTGGAGATAGTCCTTGCTTGGTATTTGTGTGGTGCAAATGTTTTCAGCCAAAACCTGGATATTGTTTGGGTCTTGTAGCATTTGGACATCGGCTCCTTCGGTATCTGAGGAGTCAGAAATGGTTCTGAACATTGGGCAATCATTAGCGAACATCCCCACTTCTGATATTATAATGGAGGGAAGGTCATTGATGAAGCAGCTGAGCCTATGACACTACCTCAAGAAACTCAAGTTCTATATATATTCGATTTGAGTCTGGTAGAGGTAGAGATACTTCAAGAATTCCTTGGTTGGCTCTCTTACCTGAGCATTACACTTATTCCTCAGTGATCAATCATTTATCTGGTACATCTTAGCGGTGAACTGGTGAGTTCAGCATACTTATGAACAAGGACACCCATCTTTTTTAAAAAATCCTTTATTAATTAGGCAATGAATATGTTAATATAGACAGTACAGCTAAACAAGCACTGCAC